TAGGAATAAACCATCAATATATATATATGTGTATGAAAGGAAGCATATAGCTGAAGAATCTAATGATCTTGGAATAAAAAGTGTATGTATATATATTCATATATATACGGGGAAAGGCATGTGTATATAGTTATATAAATGTATGTCAGTATTTAATATATCAAGAAAATAAATTTTGATTAATGATAATACATATGCATTTATCATGGCTGTAATTTATTTTCATAATTTTTTTTTTTTTTTTTTTTCATATGGTATATTTTTTTTTTTGCAACATTCATATTTTTTCAGGTAAGGAGTGTGTATGTCATATTCTGCAAAAAGCTATGTGTTTCCTAGTTTGAATACAACATATATATATGTATTGGTGGTTTGGCAGTTGATATATATAATTCTAACCAAAGTATGTTAATTTATTTTATTGTATTGCTTCTTTATAGTCATATATATAATTAACCAGTCTATGCTTGTGTATGTATATATAATTAATATATATATATGTCATATATTTTATATTATATTCCATATAACATTCATATGTATGTGTGTGTGTTAAAAACTATTCAAATCATTAGAATATGTATGTGTATGTGTAGAACTTATAAACCAGTCACTTTTTAGATATATTATCTATATATATATATGTATGTAATGAATATAAAAATACTATATATATATATATATTTGTGTATGTATACCACATTCAGATATATATATATGAATATTGTTGTTATATGAATCTATAATATATAAATGTAAGTTGTAAAAAAAATAATTTAGTTTGACATAAAAAACATTGTATTGGCAATGATATATATATATATATATATTTTTATTTGTTGCAGGTGTATATGTATAAAATTGTATATATCAAATGTATCTGGCCATAAATAAAAAAGTAAATATATGGATCAAAAGAACAAGGTATATATTTATATATATATAGTACTTGTATGCACTTTACATTTGCCCTTTAAATAAGATTGTTTACAGCAAGAATAATAGCCGAAATGCATTCCTATTTCATTAAGAATTACTAACCACAACTCATTATTTACTGTCTATGCTAATTTATATTTTATTTTAATTGGTACATGAACTAATGTTTGAAAATTTTTTCTATTTCAGTGATTATTAAATTTGCCTTTATATTTTTTAATATTTCATCTGCAAGGAAAAAAGCAGAGAAAACTAACAATACAAAAGGATATGACAAATGAACATTGAAAGTCCAAAATGATTACTTCAATACACATGCAGTTTCACAGATTTAAGGATAAGCAAGTTATTACCAACATTTTTTTAATCACTTCACCCAAAGTAAGGTGATAAGGCCACTAAAACACCAGTGATTACTGAATGTGAAAGAATGTGAGGACTTTAGTGAGGAGAAAGGAAAATAAGAAACAGGATCAGGAAGATAGAAGATGGCAATTGACATTACATTTAAATATTTGAAGATCATAGGTGTCATAGAAACAAGAAACTGGAAGAGTTTCACAGGCAAGAAGTATGAGAAAAGAATCTATTAGAATAGAACATTTCAACAGTAAAACGATGCAACCTATATATATATATCAATTCATGTAGTCAAGTGGATGTATCAGAACAATTTTTATAAAAATATGTATATGCAAATACAGGGGATATGTCTTAGTGGTGAGAAAGTGATGAATATATATATATCTATATAGGTCTGTTGCATGTATATATATTTTTTATATATTTGTGTGAGAACCTGTATATATGGCATATATATTCATATATGTATGAACAACTGTGTAGATTTATAAATATATAGATATATATCTATATAGCAAAATATATCTATATATATATATGTGTGTGTGTTTCTTGCATATATACATCTATCTATATGTGTGTGGAAGGCAAAACGTTTTTTTGTGATATCAAATGCCTGTGTATGTATATTTATATAAAACATATATACCCCAGTTGTGTTATTGAAGGTATTTTTGAGAATGTGCTGCCAGTTTTATTTTTGTTGGACTGTGTGCAAACATTCTATTATGATGACTAAATAATTTTCTATCAGCATAATGTGTAAGTTGTATGGAACTGGATAGCATCCATATAGCTTGTGTATGAACATAAAAACAATGTAGGATATATGAGTGTATGAATAACATTTATATTTTCAATCATAAGAACTAGGCTGAAAATTTTCAAATTGTACAAGGAGGTTTAAAAAATATATAAAAGGAAAACAAAAAACTTCATATATATATATATCCCCATTACTTTTGGTATGTAAAAATATAAATTTGGAGCAAAAAATATGGGTGTGTATGTATAAATATAAAAAGCGAAATTTATATGGTGTGTGTGTATTTTATATATATATATTTTATATTTAAATGTCTGTCATGCTCTATAATTTCCAAACATTTTGAATACAGAAACCCTTTGTTCTATTGCAGCAGTTAGATTCCTTGATCAATACTTCAACTCTGACACACATAGCCACCCTGCTCTTAAT